CATTTTCAGCTGGTCTCCTTCCTTGGTCTGCTGGTTTTAATCAACTAGGAGTGGGGAGAACTAGTTCTAGTCCACTCCTAGGTACAGGAGCCAGCTTCATGATCTCCACCCTAATCAGAGCTGGAAGGGACCTTGGAGGCCTTCTAGTCCAACCCCCTGCTCAAGCAGGAGACCCTAAATGTTGTCCAAGCAGTGCCAGGATTGCAACAAGCGGGCTGAGAAAAACCCTCCTCGTGATCTAAATCAGGAGTCTCCAGACTTGGCAACTTTAGGACTTGTGGACTTGTGGCCATGCTGGCTGGGGAATTCTGGGAATTGAAGTCCACAAGCCTTAATGTTGCCAAGAAACCCCTGGCTTAAATCTCTTTTGTGAGAACTGAACAGGGCCAGGACGGAAGCAAACAGATCCTGCAATGAAGCAGAACACAATGCGAACATGGGGGAAATACCCAAACGAGGGGGCACTTTCTTTGTTACCCTCCGGGATCCTCTTCTCTGTCACTTCCCCAAATGAGCCTCAGGAGCGTCTGGGGTGGTTGTCCTTCAAGGGCCTGGGGGCAGAGGGTGCTTTGAAAGGCCATCTGGGAGACCCCCAGGCACCGCTGTCATTTCAGGACTGTGATGTCACGGCCATGATGCCACAGTGGATTTGGGGGAGCAGGGTGAACATTCCTGGGGGAAAGAAGAGAGCTGGCGACTGGGTTGGGAGCGAGGCCAGGGGAAGGCATGCCTGCTGAAGGGGCTCGGGGCTCTCGGAAGGCAGGGCAAAGCATCTGGGAGCCTCCCCAGGACCCCCTGGCCTTGCCTGCCCTTTTGCTAGGAATGGACCGGTGGTGGCACCCCAGCCATGAGCAATGACCCCAGTGCCAGCCCTGTGGAGAGCACCAGTGAACCCAAACTCATAAGGGTGACTTTGAAAAGCTCGGGGGAAACACAGGACTGCCTGGTAGATGAGAAGAGAACCATTGCGGAGCTCAAGAATGAGGCCGGACGCCATTTCTTGGTCAGCAAGGAGCAGATGCTTCTGATATTTGCGGGGAAAATATTGAAAGACCAGGACACTTTTCTTCAGCATGGCATCCAAAATGGGGACACAGTGCATGTGGTGGTGAAAAGGCCAGAACTCAGACCCAACCATGCCCTGCAAACAGACTCCGTAGCCCCAAGCTGTAGTGCTCCTGACCCAGCTGCTGGTGCCTCCGAGTCTTCTGGAGGGATTAACTTGCGACCATTGCTGAGAAGCCTCAGGAGAGACCTGCTGACCCTGCTAGACATTTTTAGTGAGTTGCCTCAGCACTTCCAGCATCATCCAGAACTCATGTTCCAGGTGCTGCAAAGCGCCACCATTCAGAGTCTGCTCTCCAAGGAGTGCAACCCTCTAACAGCCGCCTTCGTCCTGGGAGTCTCCAGCCTGGTCAGTCTGAGAGTGATGCAATCAAGAGACGAGAAAGAGGAGGAGTTTAGTGGCAGGGTGGTTGCTGAGGTTCTGGAGAAACCTTTTGTTCAGAACATCCTCGCCAACACAAAGGAGATGGCCCAGTTCTTGTCAGAGAACCCAGATCTGAAAACATTTGCTCAAGAGACTCCACAGTTTGGCAGACTGTTGAGCCTCAGTGGCTTAACTAAGATGATGGTCACCTATAAGAAGCTTCCACGACTGGCGGGCACCATCACCCTAGACATCAGCCTTGATGCGGACATGCTGGATGATCTGCAGTCCTTCCGCCAGTTGTTTGTGGACATCCGCCAGGTCCTCTCCAGTCCAGAGGTCCAGGATGAACTCGAGGAAAGAATGCTGAGGCGCACTATCGAAACTAGCCCTTCCTTAATCCAACTTGCTAAAGAAAACGCCAGCATTGGCCAGCTGCTGAGCAATCCGAAGATCGTGGGAGAAATAATCAGGTACATCCGAAAGCCAGAAGTCAAGCAGGAAATGGACAGACATTGTGACCGGATCCTGAGGAACATTGAAAGTTTCCCAGGAGGCTATAACATCTTGCAACGCATGTATAAGGAGATTGAGGAGCCCATCTGGAGTGCAATGGAAGAACAGCATGAAAATCCTTTTGCCACACAGGGTCCAGCTTCAAACCAGGCCGTTCTTCCCCCCAGAATAGAGAACAGAACGCCTCTGCCGGACCCCTGGGTCCCTCGGCAGCTGCAGACCAGGCCTCAGGAGATGGGCAAGGTCAACCGCCAGAGAGGTGCTGTGGAAGAGGGAAACGTTCTCCGTCTAGAGAAGGTATCAAAGGGGACCCAAGTGGATTTTAGTTTAGAAAGCAGCCAGACTGAGGGCTTACCTGAAGCGCCAAATGCCAGCCCAGAGAGGCCCATCTCTTTCTTGCAAGATGAAGAACCCCCAGAGTCTCCAGTCTCACAGGCGCCAATAGCTCACTCTCAGGATCTGCAGGTGCTACCTGGCCAGCCTAATGCAAACCTAAAGGAAGGACTGAGTTCTCAGGAGCTGGTGGAGACAGAAGACAACCTTGAAACATCCACGGAGACTCCACCTGGCTCCCCTAGTCTTCCCTAGTTCCACCCTCTTTCTGAGATTTCTACTCAGCTCAGGTAAAGACAGAAGCCTTTCAGGCAACCAAGTCATTGCCTACCTCTTTTCAAGACTGGGGACAATAAAGAACGCTCTTTGTGGACCAGCGAAATGCAGTGGGCCTAGTATACTTGGATTTCAGTAAGGCATTGACAAAGTAGACCACAACTTACTTCTTGGTAAGCTAGAAAAATTTGGGATAGACAGCATCACCACCAGATGGATTTGTTTTGTTTTGTTTTTTGAATCATGTTTTATTGAATTTTCCCCCCACATTCACCCGCATCTTTTTTTTGAACAGAGAATTGGCCATATCTTATCTTATATAATTTTTCAAGTTCAAATACATTTTACTCAATTACAATTTTGCCAAAATCTTCCCTTTTTGCCCTATTTTTTCTTTAATTCATATCTCAATATTTCTATGCTTATTTGTATAAACAACATCTTCATTCGCTCTCAAATTTTAATTTTCCTACTTGTTCACATTTATTCTCTTTTATTTATTAACAATTCCTTCTTTAGGGGTTCCAGGGGTTGCCTGGACACCATAGTGGAAAATATTAAATTGAAAATGTATACAGCAATAGGGAAACATGAAAGAAGTAGAGAGATGGAAGAGAAGAGGAAGGAGAGAGAGGGATAGAAGAGAGGGGAGGAAGGAAGAGAGGGGAAATTAGAGTAGGAGAGAGGGTTAGTTAGGGAGGAAGAAAGGAAGAGGAGGAGAAAGGAAGGGGAAATAGTAAGGAGTAGGAGAGGAGGGAGAAAGTAAGAAGGAAGGAGGAGAGGGAGATGGAAGAGACGGAGAAGAAAGATTGCTGTATAACAAAAGAGAGGAAATGGAAGAAAGGCAACCCCGAACATACATATAAATATTAAGACCACCAGATGGATTTGTAACTGGCTGACAAAACATACTCTATGAGTAGTCCTTAACGGTACTATGCCTACATGGAGGGAAGTAAGCAGTGGGGCACCCCAAGGCTCTGTCTTAGGCCTAGTACTCTTTAATATCTTCATAAATGACTTAGATGAGGGAACAGAAGGGGAATGCATCAAATTTTCAGATGATACTAAGCTGGCAGGAATAACCAACAGCCCAGAAGACAAGTTCAGGATCCAAAAAGATCTTGACAGACTTGAGCAATGGTTCCTATCCAATGAAATGAAATTCAACGTGGAGAAAAGCAAGATTTTACATTTAGGCAGAAGAAAATCAAGGTACAAATAGAGATTAGGCAAAACCTGTCTCAAAAACACTGTTGTGGCCTGCCAGCGGCCTGTGCAGCTGGCACTTGAGTCAGACAATGAGGAGGCTGGAGAAGATGTGGTGCCAGAGGTGGGGACTCAGCCAGGGCCTTCAGAACCTCCAGAAGCTCCTTTAAGTGAAGAGGATGCACGGCTTGCAGAGCTTCCAAAAGGCAGAAGTGGTTCCTCAGGAGGAGGTCTCCTCGAGAGTAAGGCTTGGGGCCAATTGGCCACTCCCCTAGCCTATTTAAGGAATGACAACAACTGAGGCAATTTGCAGGAAACAACTTCGTTCATATTCCTTCACGTATTGACTCCAGAAATGTCTGATTGGCTCTTGCTTCTCTCGTCATTTTTCCTGCAAATTGCTTCTGGGCATTCTGCCAACCACAGTAAGGTTATCTGAAAGACTGTGCCTCAGAATTGAGTTATTATTCCTTGGACTCTTGTCGGCTGTTAATGAAGTTAAATTAACAGCCCTTGTTCAGAAAAGACTGATTTAAACTGTACTTGTGTTCTAACAACTACTAAGAAAGCTCATTAGTAGTCCTTAATTAGTAAACTAAGGTTTGCACAGACTTCGTGTGTGCTGCGTTCTTCGTGGTCTGTAGCTGAGGCAGAACAAACAGTAACTGTGAGAGGGACCTTGGAGTCCTAGTGGATGATCACTTAAACATGAGCTAGTAGTTTGCAATCACAGCAAAAAAACAATAACTAATACACAGACACATAGAATCAAAATCACCTGAAATATTAGTACCGCTTTATAGATCCTTAGTAAGACCACACCTGGAATAGTGCACCCAGTTTTGGTCACCATATTATAGAAAAGATGTTGAGACTCTGGAAAAAGTGCAGAGAAGAGCAACAAAGATGATTAGGAGGCTGGAGGCTAAAATAGATGAAGAATGGTTTCAGGAATTGGGTTTATCTAATCTAGTGAAAAGAAGGACTAAGGTTGACGTGACAGCAGTTTCCCAATCTTTGAGGGGCTGTCACAGGAGAGGGGGTCAACACCTGAAGGCAAGACAAGAAACAACAGATGGAAACTCTTCAAGAAGAGATCCAACCTAGAATTGAGGAGGAATTCCCTGACAGTGAAAACAACCAACGGAACAGCTTCCCTTCAGAAGTGGTGGGTGGTCCAACACTGGAGGCTTTTAAGAAGAGGCTAGACAAGGATTTGTCTGAAATGGTCCAGGATTTCCCGCTTGAGCAGGGGGGTGGACTAGAAGACCCCCAAGTTCCTTCCAACTCTGTTATTCTGATTTCCCCCACATATTTTACAAACAGAGGAACCGCAAATAACAGGCCCTAAATGACTGGAACAGATAGAAGGTTATGGGAAAGTATCTGGTTTGAAAATAAACAAAGATGAAACAAAAATTTTGGTGAAGAATACAACAGAAAAACGAAATAGAGAGATAAAAGAAAATCTAGACATACAAGCGGTGAAAAAAGTGAAACACTTGAGAGTATACTTAACTTCAAAATGTGCAACAATAAAAGAAGAAAACTACTACAAGTTAAAGCAACAAATTGAAAAAGACTTGGAAAAATGGAAGAATCTTCAACTATCACTTATGGGTCGGATTGCATTGATAAAGATGAATATATTACCAAGACTATTATTCTTATTCCAAAACTGTGCCAATAAAAATTGAAAAGACTTACTTTCAATATCTTAATAAGGTCATGAGGAAATTTATATGGCAAAGGAAAAAAGTAAGAATAAGTTTAAGAATGTTGCAAGACAGGAGATTACGAGGGGGATTTGGTTTACCAAATAGGGAATTATATTACCAAGCAGAAACATTGACATGATTGAAAGAATGGATTGAATTAAGAAACACAAGGTTGTCAACACTGGAAGGGTATGATTTACAACTGGGATGGCATGCCTTTTGATGGCATGGTAGAAGTAAGATACACACATATTTTCATAGACATTTTTTTTTTTTAAATTTGATTATATAAGAAATGCATTGTTATTGGTCTGGGAGAAGGTTAGAGATAAATTTTATGTGAAAATACCAACATGGTTATCAATAACAGAAGCTTTGATACACCCAAATGTCTTTAATTCTGGAAATATTGTCAGATATAATGAGTTATTAACAGATAAGTGGGAACTGAAAGAGAAACGAGAATTGGAACAACAGGGAATTGAGATAGATTGGTACATGTATATGCAAATAAGAGCAAGATATGAAAAAGATGCTAAACTATATGGTTTTTATATGGAGAAGACTGAACTGGATAAGATACTCATGGGAACAGAGGAAAACTTAACAAAAAAATTTAATAATTTTTTGTTGTATATTGAATTGGAGGAGGAGCAAGTAAAAGAAACGATAATTGCCTGGGGTAGAAATTTTGGTTATTCAATTGAATTTGAAAAATGGCAACAACTATGGAAAAGGAACTATAAATTAACAATGTCCACAACATATAAGAAAAATCAATATAAGATGTTTTATAGATGGCATATGCCACAGGAGAAATTAGCAAAAATGTTTAAAGATAAATCAGCTAAATGCTGGAAATGTCATCAAACACCAGGATCTTACTACCATATGTGATGGACTTGTCCCAAAGCAAAAAATTACTGGTACAAGATTAAAATCTGGATGGAAGAAATGATACAGCAATGTATTGAATTTAAACCAGAATTGTTCCTACTGGGTATCTTTCCAGAAAAAAATAGTAAGGGAAATGTATATTTGATTATACATGTAATAACAGCTACAAGAATTGTGTATGCTCAAAATTGGAAATCAGAGAAAATATCTTTGGAAGAAGAAGTAATAAAAAATTTTTTAGACTGTGCAGAAATGAATAGATCAACTTTGATGATTAAAGATAAACAGGAATCAGAATATTTTAAAACATGGAATTATTTTTATAGTTGGTTGGAAAAGAGATATAAATGATTGATACTATAATTATGTACAAATGATGGTTATAATATTGATTTAGAAATGAAATGTTAGAATGGTTTGGATGAATATGAAGATAGAAGAAACTTACCGAAGATGGAAAAGAAGCCTAGAAGATAACACTGAGGCGTCACAAGGAAGGGAGGATTGATGTATTAAATGTTTGCCTGTCTTAAAAAATAAAAATATAAATTATTTTAAAAAAATATTTTACAAACAGATAATTGTAGCAGAAGGGCTGGCAGAACCTGGGGCAGAATCGTAAGAGGCATTAGCCCAGAATCCCTATGTAGCCACAAGCGAACTAGGCCCAACCTCCCTTGAGTTTCGTTGACCCCTTTCTAACTCCAAACAGGTCTCTGACCTGAGTTGAGAAGATTCCTGTGCATAGGCGTTTTAGCAATAAGCCAATTTAATTGGACCTTCACATGTGGACCTGGTCTTTTATACAAGTCAATAATATAGGATCATAAATAGTTCTTTTGCAAAAGATGCTGCTTAATGCAATCAACCCAGGAAGATTGTCACATGAGCTCTTTTATGTCCTGATTTCTTTCACATCCTTCTTTCTCCCTTGCCCAGCTCTTTGGTGTCTTCCTATTTCCAATTCTCCTCCCACTGCCCCACCCTACCCACAAGCCCCCAGTTCTTCGACTCGGGGCTTCCTTACCTAATCCTGACCCTGCCTGGCCTGTGAGGAAGAGTCCACATAATTTACATTCTGCAGAATTGCCTTTGATCCCTTTTGCCTCGGAGTTCCAGAGTTCAGGAGGCCAACTTGACTAACTGTCCCTTCTGGACCACCAAAGGCCTCTCTTCAAGCTCACCTTCTGTTCTGGCATTCAAGGAGAGAGAGAGAGAGGCTACAACACAGCAGCCAGACCACGCTGACTCTCCTCCCTGCTCCTCCCTCTTAGGTAGTCTTTGGTGAAAAGAGTTTGCCCAAAGCCTTGAGTATTTCTTTTGTTTTGATGCTGTAGATGATGGGGTTGAGTAGCGGAGGAACCAGGAGGTAGATGTGGGCCAGGAGGGAGCGCACCAGAGGGGACGCGTGGCGGCCAAATCTATACACCATGGAGAGACCAATCATTGGGGTGTAGTAAACCACCACTGCAGAGATGTGGGAGACGCAGGTGTTGAGGGCCTTCAGGCGACCTTCTCTCGAGCTGATGCGCAGGACCGTCTTAAGGATCAGGGCATAGGACAAGACGATAAAGAGGGAATCCAGGCCAAAACTGCACAGCAAGACAAAAAGACCATAAAGGCTGTTGAGGGTTGTGTCCACACACGGGAGCCGAATCAGGTTGGGGTGCAGGCAGTAGGGGTGAGCCAGCACGTTGGCCCCACAGAAGGGCAGCTTCCTCATGAGAAGAGGCAGTGGGACAAGCAAGACGATGCTTTTCACTGCAATGCCCGAGCCTATCAGGGCGATACGGTTGGCAGTCAGGAGGGTGGCATACTGCAGCGGGTTGTAGATGGCGATGAAGCGGTCAAGGGCCATGGCCCAGAGCACCCCCGAGTCCATGATGGAGAAGCAGTGGATGAAGAACATCTGGCTGAGGCAAGCGTCAAGGCCAATCTCCCGGACACCGAAGAGGAAGACGCCCAGCACGGTGGGGAGGGTGGAGAGGGACACCCCCAGCTCGCTCACCGCCAGCATGGAGAGGAAGAGGTACATGGGTTTGTGTAAGTTGTGGTTCTTCACAATCGCAAGGAGAACAGCACTGTTTCCCAAGATGGCAATGGCATAGAGGAAGCAGAAAGGGAGGGAGATCCAGGGGCTTGTGGCCTCCAGTCCTCGGATGCCGACCAGGAAGAAGGTGGGAGACATGGCACTCTGGTTTCTGAGGGGGGCCATGAGTGTCTTTCTCCCCCCTCCAGCACCTGCGGGTACATGAAAATTAACAATGAGCATGGAGCCTGGGTTTCTGGTGCTCTGGTCCTACCCAGGAGCTGAGCCAAGGGGAGAGAGCAGGCTACGGTTCTCTGTGGCTACCGGTGTTTCTTCACGGGGACTTTGGAGCGTAAAGTCTGTGGAAACAAAGGAAGCCAGGATTTCCCATGACAAAGATGGCACAGTGGTGGCAGAAAGAGGTAGCACCCTAATTGTTTCTTGCCTGCCATCCCTGCATGCCAGTCAGGAGGAATGGGCAAGAGGGGGCATTGTGGCTGCTTGGTGGGACCAGAAATCTGGTTGTCCTCATCCAGCATCTCCTTGCCCAAACATGGAGCTGGAGAGAAGGACTACGGGCAGGTAGATCTCTTTTGGTGCCCTGGTGCCATCCTCCCTTTCGGGAAACCGTTTCTTCCCAATGGTTTTGGGCAGCCGCTCTCTGAATTCCTGAGGAGCCCAATGTGCTCGGAGGACAGGAGAGCCGTTCGGCTGACAGAGGCTCTTCTGCTGGTGGGTCATCTCAGCCCCACGCTTGCTCACCCGCCCTTCCCAAAGAGGCAGCCTTGCCCTCCAGGCAGGCTGGGCTTCACTGGGGATTCCTCAGTACAGCCTCCTCCCCAAGTCAGCCGGAGCCCAGAATCTCAAGTCTGCAAGGAGCCAGCAGTGGGCTCTGCGAGATGAAGAGGAAGGCCAGGTAAAAGTATAAGAAGACCCACCTGTATGGGAAGCCTTGGTCAGCAGGAAGAAATCCAGCATGGGCGGATGGCGTCCCTGATGTTTATGAAGCTTTCTTGGGATTCCCAGAAGAGGGAGGGAGGGAGGGAGGGGGAAGGAGGAGAGGGAGGAGGAGGAAGGACATCTGCAGCCTTTGAGATATCTGAGTGCATCTTTCTGTCTTTAGAAATCCCTCCTATTATTTTCTGAAGGCAATTCCTCTTGAATAAATAAATATTTATTCTCCACTTACAACAGTTCATTGAGTGACTGGTCTAAGTTACAAAGGCACTGAAAAAGTAACTTATATGACCGTTTTTCACACTTATGAAGCATTCCCGTAGTCACATGATCAAAGCTCAGCCACTTGGCAACTGACTCGTATTTATGACGGTCGCAGTGTCCCGGGGTCACATGATCCCCTTTTGCAACCTTCTAATGAGCAAAGTCAATGGGGAAGCCAGACTCGCTTAACAACCGTGTGACTAATTTAACAGCTGCAGTGATTCACTGAACAAGCGTGGCAAGAAAAGTTGTAAAATGGGGCAAAACTCACTTAACAAATTTCTCACTTAGCAACAGAAATTTTGGATTCAATTGTGGTAAGTCGAGGACTACCTGTATTGCAGTGAGCCTTGATTATTGCTTTTGGGGTCTTACCTTTAATTCCATACAGCTGTTCCCAGACCAGTTGTAATTCCTGAGTAGCCTTTAAAGGCAGCCCCTTAAAGAGTGCATGGCAGGAGTTTATACACACACACACACACACACACACACACCCACAGTAACATATATCTACACAACTCACAAGGGGCTCCAGTCAGTCTCATCCAAGGCCTGAGAGAACAGCCCACACCTTTAGTGGTGGGCCACCTTCTCCATCGATAGCTTCTTGTGAAAGCTTCTGCTTTCAATAAAATTGGAATTGTTGCATCAGGACCTTGGTGAGTCCTGGCTTTTGCCACCATGGAATAATAACTTGGCTTCTTGTCCCCAGAATCTTCTCTAATTTTTAATGTCACCTTGGGTGTTCAAAGGCTTTGAAAAATGTGGGTTAGACTGCATTACCACCATTTGGATTCGTAACTGGCTGACCAACTGCACTCAACGCGGAGTCCTCAATGGAACTGCATCTACATGGAGGGAAGTATGCAGTGGAGTACCCCAGGGCTCTGTTTTAGGCCCAGTACTCGTCAACATCTTCATCAATGACCCCATTTCTGCTCCTCCTGATCCTCAAAGATCCCTACAAAGGTCACTTGTGAGCACAGATCCACTAAGCAACATAAACTGTATGGATAAAATGAGTTACAAGGAATCTGTGGCTTTTTAAAGAGTAACTAAAATAAATTTTAGCACGGTTTGAAATGTTTTAATGTTGGTTTGCTTTAACCTTTTAATTATGTTTCACTTGTTTCAATAATTTGTAAGCCACTCAGAGTCTCCTTAAAGGAGAGATATACAGTCTAGGAAATTAATAAACGAATAAAATAAATAAATCTCTGTAAACTCCCAAAAACTGAATGGCCCTCTCTCACCAGAGGAGGAGGAATAGGACACCACCTGTCTCCTGTTTACAACATGGTCCTTTTAGCAGTTCCAAGAAGGTTCCACACCCATTTGCACTCTGATTCGGGGGACTTGGGGGGCACAGATAACCCTCCAAGTGGCCTCAATGACTCTCAGAGAGAGCGCTAACGAATGCAAGGAATCTAAATCCTTCCATCCCCCACCATTCAGTCAGAACTGAAGAACCTTCTTGGATGAGAAGCGAAACGTCTTCAAGGAGAAACAAAGAAAATCCAGTTGCCTCTTGAAAAAGCACCTCTAGGTAACATCATCAGGGCTAGTCCCATAGAATTACCTAGTTGGGGAAATGAGGCGTCTGCAAGAAAACCAGCAAGCTCAGAGAGCCCCCAGGACCCCTCAGTCCTGACATTGCAGGGCAAAGAGTTCAGTGATGCATCCAAAAGCAGTTAAAATTTAGTAGGAAGAAACCAAGTGATGTTTTTGGTTTTGGTTTTGGTAATTTTGGTAATGTTTGGTAATGTTTCCCTAGTTTGGCTCACGGAAGGTCTGCCAGAAAGCCACCAAGCTCACGGAGCACCAAGGACCCCTCATCTCAATCCTAAAGCTACAAATATTCTCCTTTATTGGTAACATCAGGGTTTTTTGCAAGTCAGAAATTTGGAGAGAGTCTTCCGGATCTCCTTGGTTTTGATGCTGTAGATGATGGGGTTGAGGGCTGGAGGAACCAGGAGGTAGATGTGGGCCAGGAGGGAGTGCACCAGAGGGGAGGCGTGCTTGCTGAATCGGTGTACCATGGAGAGACCAATCATTGGCGTGTAGTAAACCACCACTGCACAGATGTGGGACACACAGGTGTTGAGGGCCTTCAGGCGACCATCTCTTGAGCTGATGCTCAGGACGGTCCTAAAAATCAGGACATAAGACAAGACAATGCACAGGGAATCGATCCCAAACGTGATGACGACAACAAAGAGGCCAGCTCTGTTATTGAGTGTAGTATCTGCACACGGGATCCGGATTAAATTGGGGTGCAGGCAATAGGGGTGAGCAAGCAGGTGGGATTTGGATTTGCAAAATGGAAGCCTTCTTAAAAGAAACACCAATGGGATCATCAAAATAGCACTCCTCAAAGTAATCCCCGAGCCTATCCTGGCAATCCGGTCGGCAGTCAGGAGGGTGGCATACTGCAGCGGGTTGTAGATGGCAATGAAGCGGTCAAGGGCCATGGCCCAGAGCACCCCCGAGTCCATGATGGAGAAGCAGTGGATGAAGAACATCTGGCTGAGGCAAGCATCAAGGCCAATCTCCCGGACACCGAAGAGGAAGACGCCCAGCACGGTGGGGAGGGTGGAGAGGGACACCCCCAGCTCACTCACCGCCAGCATGGAGAGGAAGAGGTACATGGGTTTGTGTAAGTTGTGGTTCTTCACAATCGCAAGGAGAACAGCACTGTTTCCCAAGATGGCAATGGTATAGAGGAAGCAGAAAGGGAGGGAGATCCAGGGGCTTGTGGCCTCCAGTCCTCGGATGCCGACCAGGAAGAAGGTAGGAGAGGTGGAACTCTGGTTTCTGAGGGGGGCCATGAGTGTCTTTCTTTCCCCTCCAGCACCTGCGGGTACATGAAAATTAACAATTAACATGGAGAGACCAGAAGCGTTGTGGCGATACTGGCTGGGAAATAGCGAAGCTCCGATGAGCTACGTGAAAACCCAGCCAGACAAACCGCTGTCAGGGAATCTTCGGACCGGAACCGTCTTGGAGGGACGGGGGAGAGAGAGAGGCATCTTGAGAGACCAAAGAGGAGCAGGCAAGTTCCTCGGAAGGTTGGAGACAGCTCTTTGACCTGGGGGGTGGGGTGGGGGGTGGGGGTGCGGAGGCGGCCATTATGACCGTTATAAACTGGGGCAACCAGATTAAGATATGAGCAGGAGTGGAGATTGAACAGAGTATTGTTACCAGGTTAGTAATTGGCCAACTCACAGGTAAGAAGAAAAAACTTTTAAAAGCTTGAAAGAAGTCCCAATGGCTAATTAGCAGGTAATTGGCACTCAGAAATTTAAGTGGAGGAAGAAAAAACAAATGAGGAACTTTAAAACTAAAGCCCTGAAAGGAACCTTCCACCTGGACTTAAAACTGGATTCGGAAGAAATTAAAACGACAAGAAAAAAGGAGACAGAGAAGTATTCTTTAAACAACAAAAAGGATTTAATTTGGAGAAGAGGAAATAATCATTTTTGTGGATTTACAAATGGATACTTTGTGGCTGGAGGATTTGTCAATTGGAGAGAGACATCTGCTGGTGAAAAGAAAGTATTGTACTAAACTTATTTAAATCACCGTGAGAAAGTACTGTAGGAGTGTTTTGTTTAAACAACTGGAATGAGATTGCAAGAGGAGTAGAAAGAACAAAGACTGAAATTGGAATGGCTCAAATGAACATCTGAATTGGGCACTATCTGGAAAGAAAAAAAGAAAGAAAAAAGAGACACTACATGGACTTTGAATTTGAATTATGTGCAATTATGTGCAAAGAAAAATAATAAATTTAAAAATCCTTGCCTTTTAAATAGATAACATGGAGAATTGGGAGGATGAGTATGAGATATTAAAGGGAGATGTTTCAAAAGATAAGAGAAGTGTTTAAGGGAAATAAAGAAGCAGAGGATTGGTTAGAATGCAAAAACAGGAAAGAG